TTCTGCCTCCAGCTGTACACATTTATCTCTGTCTATCATCGGGTAATCGGTCCCATCAGACACAGCCAGCCCGGGCTCTCAGCTGACAAGTGCCTGCACTTGCCAGGCCGGGTTTCTTCGTCGCCCTCATCTCAAATTAAGGCCCGAGGCAGTGCCTGGTGTCCAGAGCCCAGTGCCCACAGCCACGGGGGCACATCCAGGCTACCGAGCTGGTGCTCAGGTGGCCATGGTGACCTGTGCCACAGCCGTGCTCGGGGTGCCCAGGTCACCACAGGGCTGTCCCTGGTCCCCTGCTCCCGCTGCTCCTGCACAGCCCCAGCTTGGAGCAGGGCTGTGTGTCTGTCCCTGCTCTGGGGACCCAGTGCTGTCCCTGCCCTGGGGACCCGGTGCTGTCCCTGCTCTGGGGACCCGGTGCTGTCCCTGCCCCGGGGACCCGGTGCTGTCCCTGCCCTGGGGACCCGGTGCTGTCCCTGCTCTGGGGACCCGGTGCTGTCCCTGCTCTGGGGACCCGCTGCACAGCCCCAGCTTGGAGCAGGGCTGTGTGTGCTGTCCCTGCCCTGGGGACCCGGTGCTGTCCCTGCCCTGGGGACCCGGTGCTGTCCCTGCTCTGGGGACCCGGTGCTGTCCCTGCCCCAGGGACCCGGTGCTGTCCCAGGCTGCTCCCCCCGGGACCCCCGGGCTCCGCCGGCTCAGCAGCAGCGGGGGCCGGGGCAGCAGGCCCGGGGTGCTCTCCTCTCACATAAACATCTCTCCAGCAGCTCACGGCCCCTGCAAGAGCCGAGCTGTGAATTTTCATCTCTCAGCTAATCAACTCGCCTGCTAGTCCAAACTTGTCAGGAGCTTTATCCCTGCCCTGCCAGCCTCCTCCCGGCCCACGGGTGACAGAAGACGTTCCCATCCCTCCCCGAGACACATCCAGCTGCTACAAAAACAAACATCCTCCCGCTGCTGATTCCTCCTGGTCAAACAGTGCTGACCCTGGATGCCTCGGGCCCATCCGCGCTGCGCCGCGTCCCGAGCCGGGAAGGGCGATGGCAGAGCCGTGTTCCTGCCTAAGCCGGGGTTTATTAATTGCTGGTTCTGTGACAATGGGTTATTAATTGCTGGTTCTCCCTGCTCGTCTGTGACAAAAGATGAATCACCCGGCCAGGGCCGCTCTGTTGGGAGGCTCCTGCGGACGAGCGGCAGCTGCGGCAGCGCCGGGCCGGCTCTGCAGCCTCTGTCCCCTCGCTGTGTCCGGGAAGGAGCGGCTCCCCCCGCCGGGCTCCTCCAGCACGCCCATCGTGCCCGGGCTGCGCCCCAGCGCATTCCCGGGAATCCCCTCCAGCCCCGGGAGGCTGCTGGGGGCTGCAGGGAGCGCACCCGGGCTGCTCCTGCCGCTCCCTCGTGGCCAGGCCCTTCTCTCTGCCTTGCTCGGTTTTGTCACCGAATTGTTGACAATGAAACAAAATTTTATTTAACAAAATAACAAACCCGCAACCGGCAGGACCCGTGAGATCGGCTCAGGGATCCAGCCCAGATCTGTTCCTGCAAACAGTTCACACTCGAGGTGTTCCTCAGAAAACAGAGTCCTTCAAACATCTGTGACGTTCCAGAACAATCTTTAGAACTTCTGCGCACTCGAGGTTGGTGCATTTTTCACTCTTCAATCCGATTGATCCAAACACACTCCTCTGAATGGTCATTATGATCACGCAACCTCCACTGATCAATTCTGAAACTCGGAGCTTCACTGGTCAGCCAACGAGGATCCGCAATGTCACCTGCAGTTGTGACTGTTCCAGAAAGTTCCGCTCTGTTCCACCTGTATCACCCCCCATAGCTGAAAACCAGCCACCACACTTCTCCTGTACACCCCTACACAACAAACAACACCACAACGACAACATCTCTAATTCAACAATTTACCTTATTCATGAGAGTGTGACCTTGCCTTAAAGACCGAGTGCTGCACCCGGGCCGGACGTGGCCGTGGGCAGCTGCTCCTCCAGGACACCCTGGGGACCCTGCTCGGCAGCCTCCGCTCACCAGGGTTTACTCTGGCTCTGCAGCTGCAGCAGCTCTCAGCCAGCATCCACTGCATTCCCGTTCCTGGCAGCTGCGGGCAGCGCCGGCTGATGGGGCCGGAGCCCCGGGGTTATCGGCAGCGGAACTCGCCGGGCAGGGACGCGGGGGAAGCAGAGCTCGGCCTCTTGGCATGTTTGCTCGTGCTAAACCTGCAGCACGAAACCTTCTCACAACAGCACTCAGCGCTCGGAGCCTTCCTCGGCCGCTTGCACCGGCGGAAGGGAGAGCAGGGCTGGGCTGTGCAAACCAAGCGCGTCCGCAGGCACGGCGGGCACGATGCCCGGGGCTTCTGCCCAGGCTGAACACACGGCAAAGCAAAAGAGCTTTCCCCGACACAAATGGAGGTGGCGGCACCTGGGGACAAGCAGCTCCCTGTGCCGGGGGAGTCCCGGGCTCGGAGGTACCGGGGCGGATCTCCCTCCGTGC